GGTGAAAGACTTAATGAAGCCTGCTGGCTCCAGGCATCCTGGCCGATTTTCATTGTGTCTCTACCACACTGAAGGTCATGTTTCTGAAGAAAGCAGTTATTATAAACAATAATTCAATAACATTTTAAAGGGCTAGTTGACTGATCATACAATATAGGATGCAGTTTGTCACACCTGACATGGATTTTTAAGAGTATAAGTTGACTGTGCTTAAGGGTGCAATTTCATGCATGTGTAGATGGAAAAAAAGTCCTACAATTCCCAGCATTCCCCAACCAGCATGGCTAGTGTGGCATTGTGTCCAGAGTGTTGGACTAGGGCCCAGGCAGTTGGGATCTTCACTTAGCCAGGAAGTTCACCGAGTGAATTTGGGTCAGTCCCTGGCTCCCAGCCCAACCTACTTCAGAAAGTTGTGATTGTGAGGATAAAAAAAAAGGGGGGGGGGTAGGCTGCTTTTGATTCCTTGAAAGAAAAAGCAAGACAAGCCCATTTCTTTAATATAATAAAAATAATAAATTGTGGGTTTGTTTCCTGTCTAAAAGTGCACAGGATTGTACCCTGAAAGGCTTTTTAGAGCTCAAATGGTATTTGAAAATGGCTATTAATAGCCATTGGTGGCTAGTGGTCATGATGGCTAAATAGTCACCCCAGGATCATATGCAGTATGCCTCCAAAACACCAGTCATGGGAAAACAGCGATTCCCAGAAATTTCTGGTGGGAAATGGGATATTGGTCTAGTGGGATTTCAGTCTGATATAGTAGGGCTCTTCTGCTGTTCCTGAAATGGGGGAAAGGAGCCATCATTTAAGGGTCAAAGGGTTCCAGATGGCACACAGCCTGCCTTGGACCTCCAAGTCACATCATTTCTCCCCATATGCATCAGAAACCCGGCATTTACTTCAGCTGCCATATCTGCATATTGAAGGATATTTCCTGCTTCAATTTCTATAAAACCCCAGCACTGAGTGTATAACATCAGTATGCAGGCAAGCAAAGAAGGGCTATATTGTTTTATATTGTTATTTATTTTATATTGTTATTTTATATTTTATATTGTTATTATTGTTATTTTTTATGTTGTGAGCCGCCCCGAGGCTTCAGCGAATGGGGCAGCATATAAATTTATGTTTTAATAAATAAATAAAATAAATAAATATATGGTTTGATAAGGAAACATTTAGGAAACAGTCAGGAACTTCCTATGCACCAATGGCTTGATGGGTGTTGGAAAAGATGGCGTCTCCTTTGTTCTGCAAATACAGGGTTAAAGAAGAAACTAACATATATGCAGCTGTAAGACTATCTGTTCCTAGATAAGAGAGAACAAGAAGGAACCAGGCCAAGGATGAATGTTTGAGTTGCATCTTGAAAGGGATGGAAGGAGGGAGGAAAATTCCCAGCCTCAGGAAGGGACAGGGTCCAGGAGAAAGCTGTCAGAACAGGATGTAAAGTATAAAAGGCTTTGCTCTAATTGTGCTTTGTGCAGTTGTAATGTGTTCTCTACATGTCTGGCTTTCACTCTATTCTTAATAAATATTGCTGGCCTGATTTTTCCCCATTTGACGTTGTCGGACCTGTTACTTGCAGAATCTCTCATGGGCTTAAAAATTCTACATTGTTCAAGAGGTGCATTATTGGTTAGTTGCCAACGTGCAATCAACTCATGGGCTCCACATCACCAACTCATCTGATTGTGAATGCTGTTGCTGTGATTGGCAGAGGAAATCCTAGATACAGGGGAATCTTGTATAAGCCAGGTCGTTAGCCCCATGAGCCAAGGGCTCCCTCCCTTTGCAAAGAGACTTAAGACTGGTCCAGATGCTGTCCTGGAAGTCCCTTCCCACCCTGTGATTTTGGGACTGGGGCCAAGAGAGAGTTAACTGCTCTTTACTCAAACTGGACAGGCTGGTTTGGCTTGGGTAACCGTATCATTCTTCGCCAAAGCCTCAGTGGGATTCTACTCTCCCCACTCCCTTCAGGAATGTGCCACTGCAGGAACAGCTTTGAGGGAGTTGCAGCACGGCTGAGCATGAGAAAAGATCAGGCCGAGGTCAGGGAATTAAATGGAGCTCCAGAAGCATCTGCAGGAAAGGAGAGCCTCTTTAGAAACTGAATGAGGACACAGGATTTGTTCGGAGTATTAAGGTCATGAACCTCCGCCTACACTCACCTGAATAGATATGTATGCAAATCATGGTTAAAAATTGCTATGGTTGAACAATATAATTGCATTTTATGTGGGGTAGTTCTGGCTTTTGAAATATTTTAACTGCTGATTTCGTTTGGATTGTGTTCTCCCCTGAACGATGTTTTATCCTTTTCATGCAAGCTGCTTTTAGGGGGTGCAGTGGATCAATGGGTAAAGATGCTGAGCTTGTCGGCAGTTCAGCAGTTTGAATCCCCAGTGCCATGTACTGGAATGAGCTCCTGTTACTTGCCCCAGATTCTGCCAACCTAGCAGTAAGAAAACATGCAAATATAAGTAGATAAATAGGTACCACTTCAGTGGGAAGGTAACAGCATTCAGTGAGCAAAAGCATCTAGTCATGCTGGCCGCCTGACTATGGAAGCAACTTCAGACGATGCTGGCGTTTTGGATTGAAACGGAGATGAGCACCACCCATAGAGTCAGGCATGGCTAGCATGCATGTGTGAAGAAAACCTTTACCTTTACCTTTACCGGTAAGGCATGTCATGAGTGTAGCCAGCTGGAGCCAGGGCTCAAGACTAGATGGCCCAGGAAACCCCTTCTGACTCGCTCTGTTTCTATGTTCACTTTTGCCTTTACCTTACTGCCTTTAGGTATGGAGAGGGCTTGCTCCAAAAGACTGGCTGAGAGAGCCGTACAATACATTGGTAAAAGGAATAAATATGCCCAGGGAGCTTTGGCCATTGTGCAACATGGAAATGCAACAAACCAATCACAAATAAAATAATGCCACTTGCTGAGCTATTATGCTGAGTTAGAACAACAGTCTATGTAGCCCAGTAGAAAACCCGAGTCAGTAGCTGCGTTTTGGGATTTCATGAAGGGAAGGGGCCTTCTCCAGCCGAGCGATTTGCATCTCTGGGGACTGACCCAGGATCTCATATTTTCAAGGCCCATGTTCTGCCACTGCTGGGGCATTAGTATGGTTTGCAAGACACATTTGGTGAGCTCAGCAGGAAGCATAAGGATGCCCAGAGAGGCCTGGTGGCGTGGCTGGCTGTGGGGCACTCAGGGAGGTGGGCCTTAGGGTTTGTTGCTCTGCAGGGAGTGCAAAACTGCCAGGAAGCGGCCCCTGGAAAGGCAACTAGGATCTGTGGAGACTGCGGACTGGACTCCCGCCTTCTCCTCTCGGAGGGCCTCTCGACCTCAGGGGCTTAACCCACTGATGTTTCTTTTCTGTCCTTCTTGTGGGAGGAAAAGTGTGTCCTTCACACAATCCCCCTCCCCTTTTGGATTTCTCTTCCTTCTTAGATATTCTATTAACCCACAACAAGGTTAGCACTGTGCTGTAGCTGCAGTATAGCAGATCTGGGACAGTAAAAGAGGCTTTTGTTCTGGTTTGACATTTAATAGCTTATTATCCTCACTCTAAAAAAAGCCACAAAATTGTCGGAAATGATGGAGAGGCCCTGAAGGAGGGCAATGCCATAAAAAGACCCCGCAAATGTGCATAAATGAGGGATCATGAGTACATAATAAAGCCTTGTGTATAGGAATCCATAACAATAATAATGCATCCTAGTCAGATATGAGTATTCCTGCCTCTTAAGTTTATTTTTTGCAAAGGAGAAGGCTTTTCTTCTCTGGTAGTACTTAATTTCACTACCTACTCACTGGCTGTTTCGAACTAACATGAGAGAAAGTGATGACTCTCTTCTTACTTTTGCAAGTGACCTCCATTTCTTTCCCAGACGTGGAAAATGGAGAATAATGTTCTTCTGCTTCAGAGGATGACCAGGTTGCTTTTTGCGCTGTACCAAGAGTACTCCTTTGAGTGCTGCCAGAGGAAGCAAATACGTGGGACACCAACCTTCCCTTTAATCCAGAGTGGGTTGGAGTTATAAGGTGAAGGACAAGAATGACCTGAAGCTTCAGTTTGGAGCCCCACACATGAGCATCAATAGTGGGCATGCCAAACACGACCAGAGCATGTTCAGTGCTCCGTTATACATTATTTGACTATTAATTTATAGCACACTGTAAACTGCATTGAAGTGCAGGCGATGGGAAAAAGATGCCCAGTGGGATTTTGCATCTAGGTGAAAATGCCCTACATTTCCCCTCATGTTTGGAATGGAAAATGCTCCCTTTTCTGTTAGAAGATTTACAGTATTTTGTCTGGCTAAAATAGGAGAAGACCATGAGAGCATTATCTGAGGCAGCTCTTTATCTTCCTTTTAAATGGGGCCCACTTGGGCAACAGATATATTAGCCGAGCTGTTCGGAATGTATCTGGGTCTCCTCTAAGGTGAAGCTGGCTGCAATCTGGCAAGGGACTTTGAGCCACCCTGTGCGTCCCACCAGCCATCTCTCAGTCGTCTGTAGCATGTCCTTTTTTTCACCTAATTCCACAAAGGAGCCCGTTTGTGTGCCAGGACAGGTGTGCGTGCTTAAGCTTTTAGCAGGGACTTAAGTAAATGATCAGCTAGGTTTTACCAGTGCCTTGCCTTTCAGCAAAAAGCCACCTAGTGTGAATCACACCTTTTGTTCTGAAGGCAAGAGAGGGGGCAGCAAGATAAGACAAGAGGAGGGGGAGGCGGAAACACACATTCATTGACAGTTCTGCAAAAGAAACACGGCCCCTTCCCGCTGGCTGACCTATGAGAAGAATTTCTGTGTTGGCAAAGGGTTTGGGGCTGGTCCATTCCGGAGGACTTGTATGTCAGCTAGTCTGATGGACAACTCCCACAACAGCAGAAATAAAAGGAGACCGGAGGGAAAGGTGCTCTCACTTCTGCATCTTTAGCACAAACTGTCTTGCCACAAGCCGGTTTCAGACAACCCCTCACCATGAGTTACAGTATGAGGCAATCCTCCTCATCCGTTACTAATAGAGGGTTTGGAGGGGGTCGTCTCTTCAGCGCTCCAAGCATCCATGGTGGATCTGGTGGCCAGGGCATCTCTATCTCTTCCACTCGGTGTGTTGGAGGAGGCCTAGGCTATGGTGGTGGGGTGAGCACTGGCTATGGCGGCAGCTTTGGTGGCGGCTTTGGTGGTGGTCTTGGTGCTAGTGCTGGGGGTGCATTCAGCAGTGCCCTAAATACTGGCGATGGCCTCCTTTCGGGAAATGAAAAGGTAACTATGCAAAATCTGAATGACCGCCTGGCAAGCTACTTGGAAAAGGTGCGGGCCCTGGAGGAAGCCAACACTGAGCTAGAGGTTAAAATCCGAGAGTGGTACCAGAAGCAGGGGCCGAGCCCCACCCGTGACTACAGCCCATTTCAGAAGACAATTGAGGACCTCAGAGAGCAGGTAGGACTTCAGAGTGGCAAGCGCATTTGGAGAGAGGTGTTAATGTCTCAACGTGTATAGCAGGCTGTAACTGTTGCTGTTCAGAGTGTGATCACTTCATGGTTTGGTCGTCTGTCCGTTTCAGCCAAATCTCTGAAGTGCTGCAACTATAGAAGAGCAATGTAATTGTGCATGGTTATGCTGGGGAAAGAGCTTGGTATGTGCATAGACTGCAGAGAGCCAGTCCAAAAGGAAAAATAACCTGGGCTTGCCGCCTTTTTCTCCTGTTAGAATCCCAATATAATCAACAATTGCATAGTTCAAACCTGAAGCTTTTCCTGGCCTGCAAATATAGGAGTGTAAAACAGGCAAACATTCAATGTAGAAAGAAAGGTGTGAGAACTGCAATGTTGCTCAGTAGCATGTGGACTTTAACTTGACAGGCCTGGGTTCAAAACCTTACTAGGATAACAACCCAGCAGGTATTCTAGGACATTCTCTACTTCAGTGTGTTATCATCTATACAATGGGTATAATTAGCAAGTTTTTTTTTTTTTAGATTGCTTGCATGTTTCTCAAATGTTGTATAATGGAAGAATATATGTCTAACCAGGCCCTGCACTTCAAGCCCCCGCACTTCACTTTAAGAGAAGTATAATAAACAGCCTACTTATTAGTTTGGTATGAAGAAATACAAGGAAGTATATGTCACATTAAAGCTGGAACTCAAAAGGAACTTGATGTATGAGTTGTATGAGAAATAATCAAAACCAGATCTTTACAGTGCAGGCAAACACTGCCAGCCAGGAAGTGATGCACTGGACCATTTACATAATAATATGCAAAATACCAATTAGTGAGCCTTTTTTTCCCCTTTGTACTCTTGTTGTAAATACATTTGCTGAGTGTCCTTTAAGTAGGCTGTCCTGTAAATGTTGGCCTGGTTTTGTTAAGGCCTTTATCTGAAAGCTGAGGTGCAAGGACTTGTATATGTAAACAGCTTTGCTCTGGAATTCTTGCCATTCTGGAGAAGTAATCCCATTTAGTACTTCAACACAGCCCAGTCCAATACAATTGCCTTTCTGGACCTCTGTGGTAGACGAATGCATGCCAAGGATCCTGGGTCCCATCCCTGGCAGGGAGGGCCAGAAAAACTCCTCCCTAGAACCTTGGAGGGTTGCCAGCAGCCAGTGCCTATAATGCTGGCTATAATGCTGATTTGACTCAAAATGTGTTCCTAACTTATCTATCTGATTCCAGTGGGAAACGATGGAGCACAACCCAAGCCCTCATTTATCCTTGGCATCAAGGCTATAACAGTGCATCTATAGCTGGCGTCAGCTATAATGTTTCTCTCATGTTATCAGATCTTACTTATGTTTGGTTGGATATTCTAGCTCTGCAGATTTAGTGAAGCTTTACTTCTGCTGCTGTTTGTCCACTTATATTTTGATCCCCGAGAGCATTTAATGGAACTCAACTGAATAATAAAGATCAAATTGTGGAAATTGATGAACAATAGATATTAACACTGAATGATGCATTTTCAGAGCTTGCCAAGGGGATCTGTAATAACGCAAGATGTTTTTTTCAGTGGGATTAATCTAAATACATGTTTGGAAGTGTTTAAGCAGCTTAGATTTGTGGACTATCCTATTCCCAAGACTCAAGGAGAAAATAAGTGGCCTGGATCCATGCTAATTAACTTGAACTCAGTTCCCAGTGAAATCAACAGAACACGGAGGTCCATTGATCGGAAGGCAGCTCAGCTCATTTAAGTGAAGCTGCAGTGCCATCCCTACTTATTTGGGAGAGAGCCCAGTTGAAATTGGAAGGCATAAGTTAATCTAGAGCGAACCCAGTGGGCTGAATCCAGCTTGGTCACACTATACTCACAGAAATAAGCCAAAAATCAGTGAGACTGGTCCTACTCAGCACAAAGTCAATGAAATCAGTGGGACTCAAATCAAGATTAACTATGAAAAAGGCCTGTAGTGGGCTCATTTCCCTTGGCCCAATAATATCTCGGGTCAAACAGGTTTTATAGGTTTTTAAGCATTGAAAACTGTGTGAACAGTGGAATAAGTGCGCACTCCTGGGAAACAGGGATGATATTTAAAGTCTCTTACACTTCCTGCTTTGAATCTAGGCTTAGTCATGTTTGGAATCACTCAGATGAAATCAATAGGATTTAAGTTAGTCTTTAGCATTATATTTTCCTTTTGTCTCTCTTCAGCCTTGGTGAATAATCTTCATTATCTACTCTGTAGCAAGTCTCCAACAGTTTGTTGAAAAATCACATTGCCTCCCCAAAAGGGAACTTTATCCAGTGCCAAACCTTTGCTACAACCGGAAAAGTTGTATTGTTTAGCCCCTTTCTCCATGCTCTTTCGATCCTTTGCTATCCAGGGTGACAAGATGATCATGTGCTCCAGTTTACAGAGGATATCTTAGGAGTGTTGTCGGAGAACAGTCCTTTATTTGATTTGGAAGTGTCCTCTATTTGAAGGCTAGACAGCAGTCTGGTCACAGCCCTGTGACAGGGCTCCTGGTCAAGTTCTGCCTCCTTCTATGAGAGGTGTATTTTATTTAAATTTTAACAATTATTTCTATGTTTGCACCTATACATACAAATTAGTGTATGCAAAAGTTATGTAAATCTGTGCCCTCTTTCATCCTCTCTTTTGGTGATAGATTTCCCCTGAATCCTTTTAACACTGAGGCTGGTCTTTTATACCAAAATATTATACATTTTAAAAATCTGTTGATATATTTATTTCAAAAATCTATAAACTTATAAACAGGGTGTGTATCGTTTTATTTTTGCAGTGCTGTGTCATGTGTACCACATTGGCTATATACTGGATTCTTAAACCATCTCAATCAATCTTTTCCTCCCTCATCATCAACTCAACCAGAGGCTTCAGGCAGCTAAAATGTACTTGGAACCTGGGTGTCACAGTTCAGAGCTCAGCAATACCTCTGTGTTGGCTCCATTCTGGTATATGAAAAACTGTGGTTTAGCTAGCTATTATTTAAAAAGGAAAATGAAGACCAACCTCCAACCCTTGCAAACCATTGGATGTTGAGTAAACTAACTAAGCCCTAATCTCCTCTCTCTGTGTGTACAGCCATAATTTATTTTGCCTTGACAGAGCCATCAGCACACAATACTGGCTTGTTTGCAAAGGAAACGCACCCATCCCTAAAGGTACAACAAGCCACAAGAAAGCAAATAGTTATTGTAAGGAAATTTGTACCAGCCTTGGAGTTCATGACCGCCACCCCCCAAGCAGGCTTGCCAGTTTTGATTGTCCAAATACTGAGTCCCTGAGCAGGGCGTTGAAGGAAACTGTCAGGCTAAAGCAGAATCAGGACGGAATTTGGCATGTCTTTGGCATGTCACCTCAGCAAAACCTGCTAGGCTGTGGGTGAAAAGCCCAGTAGAATCTTAGAACTCCTAGGGTGTTGTAGGGTTTGTTGTACGGTTCATGGTGGGTTGTAAACCACCCATATTTGGATGACCAATCCCATTATAAATGAAAGGAAGCAGGGAGCAACATGGAAGGCAAGAACAGTCGCAGCAACAGCCTTGCTTATCTTGGGGAGCTGACCCATTTCATTGCCTGTGACAATTCCCCCAAAGGGCCCAAGCAGCACATTGGAGGGGCTGCCACTGGTTGGCCATCATTTCTTTTCAAAAAGTTGGCAGCTCAAACGTGTCCACTTTTCTTGCCTTTGCTTTTTTTTAAATAGACTTGCAAAAATGTAGAGGTATGTACCACTACAGGTCCAAATTAAGGATCTTCACATTGGCAATGTCCTGGGGAATACCTTCTGCCAAAAAGCTACAGGTACCAATGCTGGACCTTGACCCAGAGAAGCTCGACCTCTCCCCCTCCCCCGCTTTCCTCTGACAGCTGTCAAAAAGTCTGACAGGTTGAAGCAAACCCACAAGTGATGTTTGCTCAGGAAAGGGGATAATTGTGTCCCCCCCCCCCCCCCCCACACAGACACACTTTGCAGATAGATCCTTAAGGGTTGAGTTTCTTCCTGTAGAACCAATTGCCCCCACTTTTCTACCCATTCCTAAGCCTCTAAGTGCTTAAGAAGGTGGAAAAGCACGGCTTATCCCCAATTTGCTGTCATTTCATTTTGACAGCTGTCAAAGGTAGAGATTGTTGTTTTTTGAAAGTAGGGATTAAGGAAGGAGGGTGAAGGGTAGCTTAGAGGGGAAGTATATAGATTGCAAATGTATACCATTCATACCATTTTTATGATGTGATGTGAATCATGATTAGCTTAAACCCCATTGAATGCAGTAGGTCTCTCTAAGAGTGGCTAGATCTGGATCAAATCCAGTATAGGCTGCTGTTACAGGCAAAGATGAAGAGGTGAGCCAATGATCCGAAGATTTGTGTGAGCCAGCCTGATATGCAGTGAGAACATTCAGAAGACAATCTTTTGCCTTTCTATATCTGTCCCCTTCTAGGAAGCTTCCTCCCTCCCAGTTGGTTAAAACAAACAGGTGTGATATGTAGGAAAGCAAATAACCCCTCATGGTCTCTCCTCTTGCAGATCCTTACAGCAGCCATTGAAAACAATAAAATTGTCCTGCAGATTGACAATGCCAGGCTGGCTGCTGATGACTTCAAAAGCAAGTGAGTAGACTTTCCCTTGGCAGAAGGTCAAAAAAGATTCATATATATATATATAAAACCATCATCAAACTGTGTGTGTGTCCTACAAAAGGGATTCAGGAATGTGGTAGCATTATATATTTATTTATGATATTTATATCTTGCTTTTTTCGGGCAAGGAACCTAAGGCAGTGTACATAATCCTCATCCTCTTCTCCGTCTTTTATCTCACAACAAACCTGAGAGTTAGGTTAGGTTACGACTCTGTTGCAGGCCCAAAATCATCCAGTGAGCTTCATGCCTAAGCAGGGACTGGAACCCAAATCTCCCAAGTCCCAGCTGAACCGGCTGACCATTGTACCACACAGACTACCACTCTCTTGCCTCCAGATATTTTTACCTTGCTGGCTCGTCTCACTCCAGCTCGGTTATTTATTTATTTAGCAAGCTTCTATGCCGCCCCATTCGCCGAAGGTTAAAAGCATTGTCCGGATTTCTCCATTTGGAAATGTGTCAGTTGCCATTGCACAAGATTGCAGAGCATGGCTACATGCCAGCGAGGGTGCGGGGGGAGGGGTCTACTGAGAAGAACCCCGAGGAGGTGCTTCTCCTCTTCATCCTTGCAGCCTGCTTGGTCACCCACTTCTTGCTGGGGCCTGGCCCACAGCGGTGTCAAGGAGGACGAGCAAAGATGCCTGCCCCAGCTCGCTCCTTGGTCTCTGCCTGCCAAGCAAGAAAGCAATAGCCATGATGAGCAAGAGCAGGAGGGACGAAAGTGGCTGGTGCCAGCGGCTCTGAGAAGGTAGATTCCCTCACTGAGGGAGGGCCCTGCTGAGGCAGTCTTGCCCCAGGGCTCTCAAAGACCTGGCGCTGCCACCAACATGCAGGCAATGCATCTCAATCTGGGAAACTGTCCTCTAGCCAAAGCGCACATTCTTACTCTGGGGAGCTCATCAGTGATTTTGCCTAAGGAAGAGAGTGTACTGAACCACCAGATTCAAGCCATTTCTGATCATTTGCTGGTGCGAAATTCTTTTAAAAGGTTTGAGACTGAGCAGGCCCTGCGCATGAGTGTTGAGGCTGACATCAATGGCCTGCGCAGAGTCCTGGATGAGCTGACTCTGTCTAGGACTGACCTGGAGCTGCAGATTGAAGGGCTGAAGGAGGAACTGGCCTTCCTTAAGAAGAACCATGAGGAGGTAAAGAAAGATAATGTTCAGAGAACTGGATTCATTGAAGACCCATTGAAATCAGTGGGACATGGGCTAGCTATGCCTCACTTACACTCCATTGCTTTCAATGGGTTCCCTTGAAGTATGAGTAAACCTGGATTCAAGTACAGGTCTAAAGCTGTATTTATCCAAAATGACCTGAAAGACCTCGGAAGTTTCAGGTTGTCAGATGTTAGAAGGATAAAAGGGACTGCTTCTTATGCAAGAGCACATTGCTATACAGTGGCATTTAGGACACCCAGTGAAATAAACAGCAAGAAATGGTGCCTTTCCTTGAAATTACTTCTAAAGCTTAAAGCTTAACTCACGTGTTCCAATTACTGTTAGCAATACTAACAATTACAAATGTATTAATGTATTATAAAGGTTGGGCAACCAGCAGCCTTCTAGATCTCATTCCATTCCAGCTCGCATCAGGTCAAGCCATCACGGCCAACAAATCGAATTTACAGTAGTCAACATCTGCCTACTACCACTTCCCATCTTGGGCTACCACTTCCCATCTTGTGTAGTGCAAGGCACTATCTGAGAGGATCAAATACAATCTGGAGAATAATTTTGGCTGCTCCATCTGTGTCCACCACCATCTTACATTCCTCAAAGCCATCCCACCCCGTGGGCCACACATTCAATACATTCTTCACTTCCCGTTCATCCAGCTTTCAAGCTGAAACAGAAGGGCAGGTAGCAAAGGCACGGCAGTGTGAGAGCAGGGCGGCTGCTTTTCCTCTCTCCTTCGGTCACCGTTACGGTGGTCCGTGACACACTGGGTGTGCCAGGCTGTGGAACCGATGGGAGACCGATGTTGCTATGTGCCTCTTCTGCAGCTCCCACTGCCACTGGGGAGGGGACGGGAAGGGAAGGGAAGGGAAGGGAAGGGAAGGGAAGGGAAGGGAAGGGAAGGGGGAGTGTGTCTGGGAGCAATTATTGATGGCTTAGAGAACACACCAGGCAGAAGCTAGACAAGACCGTTGCTGCTGCTGCTCTTATTATCACATCACATTACATCTTTATCCTGCCTTTCCCCCCTCTTGCAAGGAACCGGAGGCAATTTAAACAGTCCTCTTCCACTTTTTTTTGTCCTCACATCAGCAGCCCTCTGAGATAGGTCAGGGTGAAAGTGAGCAGCTCACCCAAAAGTACCCAGTGAGCTTCATGGCCAAGCGAGGACTGGAGTCTGGGTCCTCCGTCCAGCAATGGCCATGCTACACTGGCCGTCAGACAAGAGGAGAGCAGCAACAGGAGACAATCAGAAACAACTCAGTGTAGCACAAATAGCTGACAGGGGATGAGAGACGGCTTTGGTGGATGGGCAGAAAGGAGGAATATAGCTGAAAGCCGGCAGTTTGGCTTGGAAAACATTGTCCAAGATCTTCCCGATTTTGCAGGAATCCTCAGGTAATTTCTTAGTTAATACAAGATCAGCTTTGGATAGCTTGCCTCTATATAGATAAAAGATAAATGCTGTGGATGGTTGCTATATATGTAACTATCCCATCCCTTGTCTGTTTTACAGGAAATGAGTGCCCTCTCTGGGCAACTGAGTGGCAAAGTGAGCGTTGAAATTGACTCTGCTCCAGGCATTGATCTGACCAAGATCCTGGCCGATATGCGAGATCAGTATGAACTGCTGGCCGAGAAGAACAGGCGGGATGCTGAAGCTTGGTATACCAGCAAGGTGAGAGAAAGGAACGGGTGGATTTTGAGAAACAAACAGTACAGTAGGAGAAAACTGGGTGTCCACTCACTCATATCATTCACAAGGAGCATACTTCCTGTTTACAGATGTCTTCTCTCTCTCTCTCTCTCTCTCTCTCTCTCTCTCTCTCTCTCTCTCTCTTCCAAATTACAGTCTGAAGAACTCAGCCGGGAAGTTGCTGTCAGCACCGAACAGCTCCAGACCAGCAAGACTGAGATCACAGAGCTGAGACGTACGGTCCAGAACTTGGAGATCGAACTGCAGTCTCAACTCTCCATGGTACATGGATTAAGCATGGATCAGTTAGATATCTGAGTGCTGGAATGAGTAACTGAAGGGGATTTGAGCTCTGTGTGTACGTGTGTGCATGCGTGCACACATGTGTGAAACAGCCAACCTGTCTCATGCAGAAACTGTATGCCTTCACATGCACAAATGCACACACACACTCTCCTTTTGGCTCCTCATAATCTGAGAAAGCTGGAAACACTGGAATACATTAATTTCTAAATGATTTATCTACAAATACAGGCTTGTTCTGAATTTGTTCACTGATGCTGCATTTAGGACCAGGCTAGAGAAGGGTGAGAAATTAATTTCATTCACATTTTAATGCACTTACCAACTTTGCACTTTCCCCATTTACACACAAAGCAGACTGCAGTTATACAGCAATATTTTCACTATTCAAAAGCAGTTTGTAAAATTAACAGTGTACACACAAATATGCACACATTACAGAAACCTGTGCATAAAATCTGTACACTATGGAATAATGCACACAAAAGTGCTTCATTTTAGAGGCTTGCAAAATATTTGGAAATGTTCAGACAAAAACATGTCTATATTTTGCAAAATGTACCAAAATTCATGTAGACTTATAAAAATATAAACCAGTGTAAAAAATATAATGGAACAAAATTAACACCAAACAATGAGAAACTGCATACACTTGAGCTGGACTAATTTGTCATAGCTAGGCAAGGCAACTTTTCAGATTCCTAAGAAACCAGCCTACTTATACATTGATAACCTATCCCATTTCGAAGGCTTGGGATATGTTCATGTTTTTTTAAAAGTGTGGAAAAGTTCTAGTTAAGATACACTTGTATATACCTGGAAATGTTTAGAGCTTTCCTGGCTCTAAAAAAAGCAGTGGAATGGCTGCAAAACACCAGAGAGTCTCTGGAGAGAGTTGTGTAAAGTAGCCACAAACTTCTGTGAGGGAACTCATGAGTCAACAGTAAATGCCTCCTGTAGAACAGTTCTAGGTCTGGATCAAGTGATGTCAATATGCCCCTTTTACTCCAAATATGTTTTCCCTACTCCTACTCCTCATTACTCATTTCTAGCTTTCTTTGAGGATGACACCTGTGCTTTGGTCACAGGCTTCAAAGCTCCTTTCTCAGCCAAGCCCTTCTCTTCTCAGAAAGCTGCCCTGGAAGGCACTTTGGCGGACACCGAGGCCCGCTATGGGGCTCAGTTGTGCCAGATCCAGAGCCTGATTAGCAACATCGAAGCACAGCTGATGGAGGTCCGATCAGACATGGAGCGCCAGAACAACGAGTACAAGATGCTCATGGACATCAAGACCCGGCTGGAGCAGGAGATTGCGACCTACCGTCAACTCTTGGAGGGGCAAGACCTCCAGTAAGTTGTTGTACAAGTCTCCTATGACCCTATATTCAAAAGCAGCATAATCCAGATTCTGGGTACCGTGCAACAGGGGGTCAATGTCTTTTCATGATTTGCCTTGCAAAATCTTAGGTGGATCCAAATAAGTCACCTGTTGGCCTGGGTTTATTGGGTGTAAAAAGATACTGGAAAGCTGTTCAGTAGCGGGAGCAGTGATGGCGTCCTTGTGTTAGAAGCCCAGCCTGATTTGCTCTGCTTCTTGATAGTTCTGGCCACTTAGCCAAGAAACCATCTGTTTATGACTCAGCAGTAAGGTTTGCCAAGTCCTATATGCAGCTTCTGCTAAAAGCAGGAAATTGCAATCTGGACAAAAAGTTCAAGCTGGTGGAAGGAACAAATTTGCTGGTACCCTGCAGGCCGTCTTTCAGTTAAAATTGCAACCCTCCATTTCACTTCCAATGGAAAAAAAAAAGTCAAAGGAGCTCATTGGGGTGATCACAGGGAAAGAATTCAGAAACAGCCTCTTTGTGATTTGCAGTTTCAGTTTTTTACACCCACTTTTTCTTGTGGCTTATGTTTTTTCAAATACCTTTGAGGAAAGGAATTACAAGGCTAAGTGTCACAAATGGCCCTGAAATAGAAGCAAAACTCTGGCTTGGAAAACAGAGTCAAATAGCCCTTCTCCAACTTGATGCCCTCTAGATATGTTGAATGGTAACTCCCTTAATTCCCAGCCCACATGGGGGTGGGGGGAGCCTCAGACTAGAGAAGACAGTATTCATTTGGCATGTTCTTGAGTTGCTTTAGAAAAAACAGCTCCAGATAATCAGGTTTTAAACAATTAATCTTGTTTGTTCTGATGCTGAAACTGATTTTCTTCTTCCTCTCTCTCCTCTGCCTCCAGTTTCTCAGGAACTGTTTCGGGGACTAATGGTAAGTCACCACTGTTTGGCAGTGTGGTGGGGGAGCGTGGTAGGGGAGAGTATTTAATGCAGACCTCACGGTATGGCCTGAAAGTGGATGATGAGCCCCTCCTGCTGAAACTAAGCAGCTCTGGGGCTGCTCCTCACCTAGGTCAGAGCCTACCCTCTGAGCACCCTCATGCACACCTACCCGAGTTCCGGGCTGGAAGAAAGGTAGATGATCCTCAAGGGTGTTCTTGATGACATCTTTTGCTTGCTCTAATCTGGGCTGTGCGGGCATTTTCCTTGAGTCGGACTGCCGAGAACAAAGGAAGATTGGATGTAGTCGGCAAAACCTTCCCTGAACTATTCCTGTTCTTCTATGCCTCCACGGCCTTGACTGTGCACCGTCCTGGTCTCATGCCTCTCCCGGCAGCCCCGACCCCTTCCTCCTCCAAGACTCCCAGTCAGGAATGCCCAAGGACCTCATCAGCCCTTCCACTTGAAGGGGTGTCAGCACTCGCATGCATCGTGTGCCCCCCCCCCCCCCGCAGCACTTTGGTGTTAACTAGCAGGTGACAAAAGAACATCAGTGGCAGGTGATGCAGCCTGGCGTATGCCGAGCGTGGGATATTCCAAGGAGCTCTGTGCCTGCAGGAGCTCATCTGGGTCCGGTCCAGAGGCTGATTCCTTGACAACACCTGGGGTGGTGAGAGAAACGAAACAGACAAAGTAGGGCTGAAATACAGATGTAGCTCTTCTAAAGGAGCCTGTTTTCCTTCGGAGTCATAAGTGGGTGGAAGAGAGCTGCAGCCCTGTTGTCATGGTATCTGCCCCAGTTGGGGGAGATAAGGCTGAGCCAGAAAAACAGGAGGAAGAGCAAGAGCAAGAGGAAGCAGGTGCTTATTAGTAGGTGTAGCGCCTGCTAACACCCCTCCATGAAGGTGGAGCATCCCTCCCATCTGTTTCTGAAGACAAAGGACAGGGATTCCAGGAGGGTGGAAGGAAGAACAGGACAGAGGCTGTACTTAAGCCTTCCTTCTCTGGCTTATACTACAAACATGTGAGCTGGTTCCAGTGCGTAACCTCCTTTTTTTCCTCCTTGTTTTGTTGCAGAGAAAGCAAGTGATCCCAAGAAGCCTTGACAAGCACCCTTCTCTCCAAACTGGAATGAATGAAACAGTCACAGGACATGGAATGGGGGCCTGGCACTTCAGAATCTCCTGCAGTAGCTTCCTGAGCACATATTCTGGGTGGCTGAGGGCATAGGGAGGCTGCATGATTTCTGCTTTTCCTACTTTTACCTTTTTCTATGGCATTTCTTTTGCCTAATAAAATTCCCTTTGGTTGCTGCATATCTAAATGGAGACTTGTTACTTGGATGCTGTTGATCACTGAAAATTCGGGCGAGCAATTCAAGTGCATGCTGCGCACGCAGTGTAAAGTTAGTGACCAAATGAAATTCCCCCACCAAGAGCAGTCACCTTTTTTCTATTTTCTTTTGCCAGATGCATTGTCCCACTGATGCCACATTGCAAAAGAACAAACAAGCTTGTCCATCCAGATTAACCATTCTGGACTAATGGCCCTAGTTTCTTTCCTGCAATCATTACACAGATTATAGTCCTCATATTGCACAGAAGCAAGCACTGATATTTCAGACTCCTGCCAACATTCCTCAACTACCGCAATTTCAAAATCACAATTTGAATGAATGTAGGTGGTCAGTTACCAGGCATGTGTTTACTATGGTGAACATACTGGAAGGCCCCTTGTCTGCATTTACATATAACCAGCTCTGGTGTGGTAGAACTTCCCTCACTGTTACCCGTGATGACAAAGACAGAAGAAGCTGCCTCCCTTGCCCCTCTTCTCTGCAGCAGCCTCTCCATTCTCCTGAAAGTGCCATGCAGAAGTGCATCTACTCCTGCTGAATGGAGTAGATCCCAAAACTGGACAAAGGCACCCTCCAGTAGTAGACTCCTTCCGTCAGTGATTTAGGTCCAAACTATTAGAGCTAAGTATTTTGTGAAGACAGCAAGTGGAGAAAGGGTTATACTTCCTAAGGTGCCTTTCCCTTAGCAAAACCCAGCTGAAAAGGAAGGAAGGAAGGTTACAACTATACATAACTTGCTATGAAGCCAGCACCCGGTATTTGTCTATTGGAACCTTCTCCATTAGGCTGATCTATTGAATCAGAGAGTGCCTTGAGGAGGGAATTCAATGGCAGTCACAATCACAAGCCATTCAAGAAGGATATGGGCTGCACTTGCTAACCATGGCACTGTGACTAAGGGCAGCTGCAGGAAAGAGGTCCAAGGGTGGCCTGCAGTGGCCTGCAGAGCTCACACTGCTTCATGCCTGAACTGACCACTGGACATCTCTACAGGCACAACTCCACCAGCACCTCTGCGTGGTCCAGATCAAGCACTCCCCTGCCTCTGCATCCAACAGGAATCAGTGAAGGGTGAAACACGTAAGATGTAGCTGTGCATGAGTGATGGCGACCCAATGGATCTTCTAGTTCTGGCCGAGCCACGCCAGATGCATGCCCAAACTTTAATCTTTGAGCCTCTGAGGGAGAAAACTCTGCCGTCTCCTGTGGCAGGAAGATAAAATGCTCTTACAGACAGACATTAAAAAAGTAATATTTTAACCTAAGTTCATCTCCCACTAAGGATAAATGTTAGGATTTTTAAAAGTTGCCTTGGTTAAAAAAAAAGTTGCCCTGAGTACCAATTTTTGGTACAAAGGTGGGATATAAATAAAATAGATATTGTTGCTTGGCTTATTCTCAGCAGTGCACTGTGAGCATGAAGAGGAGGGTAAACTCTCTGTTCTTGTTCCTGTGATTAAGGGCTTTTCCCATGCAATACATGGCCATGGGTTGGGACAATAGAAATGACATGATGCTTGGGCACGAGTTGGTGACCAGAGGCTCCCAGGGCTGAACATGAGTACTCTGGAACATCGTAAGTTAGAGAGTTGGGACATTTGTAAAGTCTTTGCTGGGCATTCATGCATAGATGACACCAGTTCAAGAGCACACCTGGTGAGGCTTAGCAAAAGCTGGGAAAAGCACTTATGTAGCCTGGATAACCATGCAAAAGTTCACACCTTAGGAATTGGACTGCTGTGCTCCACAGTTGTCACGGACCAGCCCCACTCCGACTGGAGTACAGCTGCCCACACAGGTCCTCTGATGAAGGACCTGTGTGGGCAGCTGTGGTGTGGTGCAGTGGTTAGGAGCATGGGAGAGACAGTGTGGTGCAGTGGTTAAGAGCCTGGGACTGGGACTCAGACGATCTGGGTTCTAGTCCCCGCTCAGCCCTGGAGCCAACTGAGTGACTTTGGGCCAGTCACAGACTCTCAGCCCAACCTACCTCATAGGGTTGTTGTTGTGGGGATAAGATGGAGGAGGAGGATAATGTAAGCTGCCTTGAGCCCTTTGTAGGAAAAAGGCAGGATATAAATCGAAAAATAAATAAATGAAGGTAACAAAGACCAGATCAACATGCCACATGCAAATCCATCAGGGAAAAAAAAATCTATGATAACATTAACATGTCCCCCACCCCCTTCTCCCAGTGGACTCCATGCCTTATCTTGAATTGGGTTGCCACACCTGGATTCAGGGTTCGGTGAGAACTTCGAAGGCGCTGATCCATGCCTTCTCCCATTCCCAGCACCCACACTGAAGTCGCCAGTGCGCAGTAGGCAGCTAGCCATGCAGTGATCTGGACGCCAGCAGAAGCTGTTGGGCAGCCTGGCCAGAAGAAGGCATGGTGTGAAGTCCAACTACAGCAGGTGAAGGAAATTTGGAAGAGGGCAGGGAATAGGCAGAGGGGATTGATGGGAAGCTTGAAAGGCAAAGGATGTGCAGGTGGACTGGGTGATGAGGGGCGGACATACTGTAGGAAGACACAAGATGGCATGAGAGAAAGGTGCAGCCAGTTGGAGCTACCTCAAGTGAGACAGAAGGGTGAATGCGCTGAATGGGAACAGCAATTTGTAGAAGAAAACTGAAAAAGGAACCTGGTCCCCCTCGTGTGTTTGGGGACATGGACTGCTGTCCTGCCAGAATGGCCCTCCCAGTCCCAGATGGACCAGGAGGAAGGTATGGCAAGAAAAGAAATGCTGGCAGAGGATCAGCTGGAAAGGCATGGGGCACTTAGGTAAGATAAGGAGTTCTTCATGTTCATGCCACTGTGTGATGGACCCTGTGAGGCTCCCGACTGTGCCTGGAGACTCTCCAACTCAGTATCCAGAAAGTTCCATTGTATGTTTGCTAATAAAAAGCACAGATTGCTTTGGAAGAAAAGTGGGACTAAGCAGAACTGTGTGTTAGGAAGGTGAAGAAGGTGGATATGGAGGGTACACACAAGTGCTTGTGATGCTCTCACAAGCCCATAGCAGTGCTCACGACACTTCGGCAAACAATTCAACATGCAGCCAATCCTTCACTTATTGTGTGTCCTTCCTGGAACTACTTCCTTGGATCTTTTCTTTTTCCTTCAGGTAAGACTTTAGACTGATAGTTTGTAGACTGGACATGGATTAGGAGGCATTTGCCAGACCAATTCAGCATCTCCAAATCAGTCAGCAATCAACTTAGGAATGCATACCTAAGCCACACCGTGGGTCCATCTCCCCAGTATTGTTGCCTCTGACTGGCAGCAACTGTCCCTGTTTTCAGGAAGGAATCTGTCCTTGTCCTACCTGGAGCTGCTAGGGATCAAACTTGGGATGTTCTGCATGCAAATCCTGTGCTGCACAACTAAGCCATGCTGCCTCCAAGCTTCTCCATGCCAGATGATCTTGAACTTCCATCCCAGGTAGAAACTTGCCTACACTGCAAATCATGACGAAATGACCAAACCCACTTTCCAAAGATGTTTTAGGACCTGGTGAATTACAACCTAGTCATAGGCTGAGCTATTCATGGGAACCATTCTTTGGGTGAAAATACACCAAAGAGGCAAACATGTGCATGTCTAGACAGAAGAAAAGTCCTACAATTCCCAGCATGCTCCCGCCAGCATGGCCTGCTAGAGGGCTGTTGAGAGTGGTAGGGCTTTTTTCTGTTTAAACATGCATAAGGTTGTGCTTCAAATACAATTATATCTTCTTTTTCAACATGCTAAAAAATGGCCACGAGCTTCAGCCCATTGTTTCAGGGATTACTGCAAAGTATGCAATGACTAAACATGACTAAGTAATAACATGGATAAAATCATCAAAGCCATTGGTAGTTTGCGCTGCCGGATTGCTCCTAAAAGATGCTGGCTGAGCCAGGGAAGGACTATTTGAATTGCCCAGACATGGCTGAAGGAGCACCCAGGATCAGGAGGGGTGGGAGTGTAGAGCGTGTGGAATGCAAAGTCAGAGAACAAGCTTCCTTTCCAACAATGCGCCTTTATTTGGGTTGGCAGTGGAGCTGGAAACACACACACACACACACACACCACGGAACTCAAGCAGGTTTTGCCTTTTGGTATCGCTTATTAAAAGTTGCTGATTTGCTTTCCAAAAAACAGTTATTAACTTGCAAGTCTTCTGTTACCTTAAGCTGAATGCTTATCTGAACATTCCTTTCAGGTAGAGTCAACAAATATAAGAATCCTCCTTCACATGAGTTTGTTCCAGAAGGGTGGATAATTCTAGATTACTTTTCTTTTGTCGACCAAAATAACTGCAACCAAGAAGATTGAGGCAGGGGCTTGAAACACAGTGGAGAGGGGGAAATTAGCTCCTCTTGAGGGGATCAAAGAAGCTTTGAAGACTGATTCATGTTTCCTGACCACTTGAAGACCCATGGATAAACACTCCTGTGAAACTGGGATTGCTGAAAGAGATGGTAAGCTGCCATTTCAGTCGCTGGAACATTTGCAAGGACATCTTAAGGCAATGATGCTAGTTCTGAAGAAAAAAAAAGATGTTATGAACATTATGAATGTGCTTTGAAGGAAAAAAAAGTTTATTAAGTGGTGTGCTAAGACTTGCCAGCAATTTTCTCACGGTCCAAACACATAAGCATTGATAATTATTGATCAAGATGAAAGTGGCCATCAAACCAACATGTATATTTGGATATGAACAGTATAGGATGGACAGGTAAAGGAGCATCCCTTTGCATGTCGAAGAGGGCACAGTATCAAGCAAACAAGAAACTTTAAAAAGGCCAGATTCCTTCACAGAGTAATTGTGAGTACCATCTTCCCAAAGCAATTCAGTGCAGGGGGTATTCTGCACTGGACCGGAAGGCTCAGGATTATCTTGAGGGAGGAAATGAAATCAGGGAGACATCTCAACAAAAAAGAGTTGTAGGAGTGGGTGATTTCAATAACCCTCAAAATGACTGGG